ATTCTGCATTTGTCAAAGCTCTAAAAACAGTACCCTAAAGAGGGTGAATTTTCGGGCCGGCTCCGTGGCTTAGCGGTTGAGTGCGCGCGCTCTGATGCTGGCGGCCCGGGTTCGGATCCCGGGCGTGCCCCGAGGCACCACTTCTCCGTCCAACGCGAGACCGAGTCCCACGTACAGCAACTAGAAGGATGTGCAACTATGACATACAACTATCTACTAGGCTTTGGGTAAAAAAAAGGAGGAGGATTGGCAATAGATGTTAGCTCAGAGCCGGTCTTCCTCAGCAAAAAGAGGAGGATTAGCATGGATGTTAGCTCAGGGTTGATCTTCCTCACTAACTAACTAACTAACTAAATAAATAAATAAATAAATAGATAAAGGTTCTTGACAGAGAGGGCAAGCCCTGGAGTGCTCTCCTGAAAATACAGCCTCCTTCACCTCCCAGACCGAGTCCTGGAAGGCCAGGCCAGGAAAAAATGGACCCTCCTGACAGCTGGTGGGGTGGGGGCAGCGGTGGGTGATGCAGCCACTGCCTGTCCTCCTCTGGGGAACCTAGGAGCATCAGGGTTCAGTCCATGGAGCCAGAGTTGCTGCTCAGGCCCTGTCTCTTCCTTCCAGCCTACAGGTGGCTCCCAACGTCTCCCGCTCCTTCTTCCTGTTCCTGTCCCTCCTTGAAAGCTTTGGTTCAGGCCAGGAGTGGCTACATAATTTGCAGGCCCCAGAGAAAAATGAAAATACGAGGCCCCTTGTTCAAACATTGTTAAGAAACTCAAGATCAGGGCCGGCTCCGTGGCTTAGCGGTTAAGTGCGCGCGCTCTGATGCTGGCGGCCCGGGTTCGGATCCCGGGCGCGCCCCGAGGCACCACTTCTCCGTCCAACGCGAGGCCGAGTCCCACGTACAGCAACTAGAAGGATGTGAACCTATGACATACAACTATCTACTGGGGCTTTGGGGGGAAAAAAATGAATAAATAAAATCTTTAAAAAAAAAAAAAAAGAAACTCAAGATGGGACAACAGAGTACCGTCACACAAAGTGTAGGCCCCTCTGAGCGGGGGCCCCTTTGGGACTACAGGTGACACACACATAAACTAGTCCTGGTTCTGGCCCTTCCTCTTGGCTGCCTGAGGGACCCACCCAGTCACAGGAGGTGAAGTCCTCTGTGCCAGCTCACTAGGCTGTCCAGGACCTGTCTTGCCTCCCCTCAGCCCTTCCAGAAAGAACCCTCCCCTGGACCTGCCCCACACTTCCCTGTGTCCAAGTCCAAGCCCATCCTGTGATGCCCTAATCCCATACTGCTCCAGAGGAAAGCCCCCCAACTTCCCCTCCTCAGAGAAGCTCACCCGTGGTAAAGACAAAAATTACTCATGACACTTGTTCAAGAGTGGTAAGAAGACTTTATTCAAGGGAGACTACTGCTATGGGGTTTCATAGTAGGGGAGAGTGGGCTCAATGCCACATATGACAAGGAAAAGTAGAATTTACAGCCAAGGAGCAGGGTGGGGGTCAGTGGATGGAAAATTACTAAGGAAACCTCAGGGGGCAGGGGGGATCCTGGCTAAAGGAACCTCACAGGATTCTCGCTGAAGGCAGGCCAGGGTGATCAGATACTTTCTGGGGGATGACCGGGGCTGAAGAACCAGATTAGATAGAGGGTGATCAGATATGGAGGATGGAGGATTCTGGCTAAACTAACTAAGCAGGATTCTTGCTAGAACTGGACTGAACAAGGAAGGACACAGGAGCCCAAGGTCAGGTATAGTGAAAAAGAGAGCTCAGAAGGACCTGATCAAAGTTTGGTCAACCCTTGTCACCCCCCCCCATCACCTGGAATGGTGAGCCAGCTATCCTCTGAACTCCCATCGCACTCAAGGCTCACCTCTCGTGACACATTTCACTTTGTTTTTGTTGCGAGAAATGGCATTTTCTTTTTAATAATTTTATTTATTTTTTTTCCCCCAAAGCCCCAGTACATAGTTGTATGTCACAGCTGCACATCCTTCTAGTTGCTGTATGTGGGACGCGGCCTCAGCATGGCTGGAGAAGTGGTGCGTCGGTGCGTGCCTGGGATTGAACCCGGGCCGCCAGTAGCGGAGCGCCCACACTTAACCGCTAAGCCACGGGGCCGGCCTGAAATGGCATTTTCTTTTCTGAATCCAGTATAGAAGCCTAAGTGCCCATAGGGCGGTGGGTTATGCAATCTGAATCGTCACTGTGGGGCCTGCACCCCGTTTAGAGAAAGGCTCCCTAATACTTACAGCCCCCAGTCTCAGAGAAATTTACTCTCATGCCCCCAGACAGGCTCCTTCTGCCTTCTCCATGCTCTGCTGACTTGCTCGCCACCATGAAGGCCCGGCTGTGTTTCCCATGTATGTATGTTTTGGTTCTTCTGGCCTAATCACTACTGTGGACGTACATGTGTTGTCTCCTCCTCCACCCACAGGGAAAGGCCATGTGGGCAGAGGCCTTAGCCACCTCGGCTTCCTCACATGGGAACCAGGCCTGACCCTGAGGGAGGCACACAATACATCCCTGGGCAATGAATGGTGATTGGCTCTGGAGGGCCCATGCTTGGCACAAACCAGGTGTGACCAGGTGCCCACAAATGGTGAATGAACACTCAGAGCTGGAGCTTTCCCTACCAACCCCATCGCACCCCAAGCTTGATCCCTTGCCAGTCAGCGGAGGGATCTGGCCCCTTTTGACTCCAAGTCCCCCAGGGCCTTCTGGGCTGGAGCCAGAGTGGGGTTTGGGGATGAAAACAGAAAACATGGTCCCATCCCAGCAATGTCCACAGCCCAGTGGAGACAGAGGCAAACTGATAATTCCAGCAGCACAGAGCTGATGGAGAGACATATGGGGGCTGTCGGCACAGGGAGCGAAGACTGCCCAGGCAGGGCGTGAGTTTGGGAAAGGCTTCCCTGAGGCGGCAAGATCTGAGCACCGTGAGGGGGCTCTGCCTGGAGGACGAGGGCCCAGAGGGTGGCAAGGAGCTGCTGGGGTCAGAAGGGGCACCACTGTGACCCTGGAGGCCAGACTCTCAGAGGCCTCAAGTGATAGGCTAAGGGGCCTAGGGAACTGCTGGAAGGCGTGACACTATCTGAGTTAAGCACGGGCAGAGCCCAGGGTGGGGGGCTTGCCACAGTTCTGGAGAACTGGCTGCCTGGACCTAGTCCGCTGGGAGAGGGGACTGAGGGCAGCTGAGGGGCCTGCTAGGGGCAGGAGGGAGGGGCTGCCCCGAAGCCACTACAGTGGCACCTGTGATCAGCCGGCCCCAGAGCCACCCAGCCGGCTTGGGGACCAGGAACTGGTTTGCCCAGCAGGGATGAGCTAACAGGGATCCGGTTCCCTCCGAGGCCCCAGCTTCGGCTCTCTTGCGCCCTCCCCTACATCTGGGCCTGGCCTTGGTTTCTGGCACAGCTGCCAAGTTTTGGTACCGCCCACCCACTCCCCACTGGCTGTACTGGCCAGCCCAGCTCCCTAATTGCTGGGTGGGGAGCTGTTCTGCAGAGCTGGTACACCAAAAGGTGGACCCCAGCCATTATGGAGCATGTGGGCACCCAACCTGGACATTGTAGGGCACGTGGGCACGCAGCCTGACCAGCTCCAGGCTGTGGGGAGGGAGGGATTCAGGCTTAAGGCTAGCACCCAGCTCTGGGGGGACCTCTGGAGGGTCACTGGCCCAGAGACCTTGGTTTGGAGGGGTCTGTCAAAGGCCTGTTCCAAGGCCTGTGGGGGACAGGCCTGCTTAACCCAGGTGGTCCCCGTTTCCCTCCCCAGGCAGAGGACCTGGCCTCAGGGATGGGCCTAAGTGAGTCTCAGCTAGGCCTGGGGTCTGTCCTGGCCTCAGGCTCCACCCAAGCCTGACCAGCGCTAAAAGGGCTCGGGCTGGTGGGAAGGAACAAGACAGAGGGAGCAGTCAGGAAGCAGCCCTCCTGGCCTCCAACCCAGGAGCCCCAAACACACACCCCCAGACACACCCACCACCCACAGCACATCTCTACACACACCTGCCACTCACCGGGCCATAAACACACCATCCCCACAGCAAACAACTCACACACCCCTCTCCAGCCTAAACAGGCAGTGCACACGGGCTCACTCCATAGCCCCATCCACAGCCCTGCACAGCAACTCCACTCTCCACCAGGACCCACCGACTGGGGCCTGAGGGGGCTGCCAGCGTGGCCTTGGAGGGCAGGAGCACAGCCAAAGAGCAAATGGAGGGTTTCTGCTGAGAACTCATCAGAGGCGGCTGCCGCCCCATCAGGGCAGGGACTGGGAGGGGAGAGACGTCTGTATGCCAGCTCCCGTGGGGCAGGAAGCACATCTAACTCAACCCTGAGCCCCCATGCCCTGATGGCCTAATAGCACTTAGCAGTCAGGGAGCACTCAATACCTGGCGGCAGTTACGACGATGCATCTCCACGACGGGTGGAGAGAGCCCACTTGCACAGCCAGACTGGATCTGTGCTTCAGGCCACTGCCCAGAAGGGGAGCAAAGGCCCAGATTGAAAGTCAGACTGCTGACAGGCCACGGGTGGGAGCGGGTCTTAAGAGGGCTGAGGATCAGCCTTGGCTGACAGCAAGGGTCAGGGAGCACAGTGCAGGGCCAGGGACAGGAAGCTGTGTCCTCTCAGGACAGAGCTTTCCAGAATACAAATCAGATCACATCTCACCCCCGCTTAAAAAGACCCCATGGCCCTCCATGCCTACAGGGAAATGGCCACATTCCTTGCTGTGGTAAAGGCTCTTTACCAAGAGACCCACAAGCTTTCTCTGCCTCGTCTCCTGCACGTTCCCAGGGCCCCCCATCCCTGTGGAGGGAGGGGTGTAGCGCAGCCAGACAGAAAGATGGGAAGTGCATTCGGGGAGGGGCAGGGCCCTACTGGAGCCTTTGGGTGCTCTAGCGGAAGCTGTTTCAGGCTGGCCCCAGATCCAGCAGGAATGGGCACTGGGGACCTAGACTTCCCACCAGGAGAATGTTTTATGTTCTCATAATGCCTTGGGTGACTTGCCTGTTTGTTTTCCTAGGTTCCCTGGCATTGTTCCTTCTGAAAAATCCCACTGATGCTGAAGGAATTGCAGCCCCCACCGCAGCTAAGGAACTGTGTGGCACTAGGCAAGGAGATTCCTCCCCTCACCGACCACATGCCCAGCAGCTGCGCACACAGGCACGGGGCACACCCTCCCACTGACCGTGACCACAGGAGGAGCTACAGCCCATGTCACACCCCAACCATCCACGATCCTCTAGACTCAGCCCAGAGACAGGCCCCACAGGTCACCTGGGGCCTCCTCGTAGAAAACATGGTTTTATTCCAGGGAGGCCAATGTTCCCAGCCCAGCCTCCCTCATGCCTGCCCTTCTGCATCATGGGGCTCTTCATTCTCCAACCTCCTTCTCTGGGCCACACCTACTACAGGAAGCAAGGCTGGGCCCTGCCCGGGTGCTCCTCTACTAGGAGCGCCTTGCCCTGGCTCCTGCTGCTGGCACCCTCTCCAGCCCACAGCCCACTGGATCCTTCCTCTCAGCGGGCCCCCCCAGCCCTGGCTGGCCTCAGCAGATTCTGCCCCAGACCAATGTAAGGAAAGAGGCGGCCATCTCAGGGAGGGCTTGCCCAAGCCATCTTCTGACAGTGCTTCTGCTGCCAGCTCACTCCACTGGCCTCAGATCTTGGAGGACTCAAGCCGAGGACTCCAGGGTGTGGGGGGCTCCCGCAGCACCCGCAGTTCCTGTTCCAGCGCCTGGTTGCGGCGGTACATGTCCAGGTAGCCCCCCTGGATCTCCCGCTGGTAGCGCAGCACCCGCTCCTTCTCCTCCTGCCACGTCCGCCGCTCCCGCTCGAAGCGTAGAGTCTGCTCCTGGCTCCGGAGTCGCTCTTGCAGCAGCTCAGCCCGCAGCTGCTCAGTGCCATCTGCGGGCTCGCTGCCTCCTGCCTCCCCTAGCAGCCCCCTGCTCTTGCAGTCATCGGTCTCACAGCTGCCTGGGGCTTCCTCCCGGGGGGCCTGCTCCTGCAGGCTCCGCACGGTCTCGCGTAGCCGGGCCAGCTCTGCGTCCTGGGCCTGAGCTTGTGCCCGGCTGCCCCGAAGCTGTGTCTTCAGACTGAAGATCTCAGCCAGCTTCTGCGCCAGCTCGGCCTGGGCCTCCCGGAGCTGCTGCTTCAGAAGGCTAATCTCTGCTGTCTTCTGGCACACCTGGAGGGGGGACACAGGATGGGCAAGAGCCAAGCAAAAGGGTAAGGGGGCAGAGGGCGGGACTCCAGCGATGGGGACTGGAGGGTTTCTGAGTGCCTGGTCTCTCACCTCCCATCGGGCTTCCTCCTCTGGTCGGGCGCTGGGGTCAGCCTCTGGGAGGGTGCCTGGGGGCCGGGGCTCGGGGGCCAGGCCCTGCTGCGCCTGCAGCTCCTTCCGCAGGCGCCGCTGCTCCTGCTGGGCCATAAACAGCTGCAGCTGGAGGTTGCGCTCGCTGCGCTCAGCCTTCTGGGCCACCTCATGCAGCCGCTCTATGTACAGGCGCTTCAGCTCAGACAGCCACAGCCGCTGGCGCTCCTCCAGTACCTGCCAAGGGGAAGAGGAGCCTGACAGGGCCAGCGCACACATAGCCGGCCCACCACTCCAGCACACCAGCCACAGCTTGTGTCCTATGCCCGAACACTAGGGCCCTGCACTCTGACCACACATGTGCCCTAACCTGGGATGCCCTCCAGAGGTGAAGCGTCCCCAACATGTGGCCCTCCCAGGGAACCTCTCTCCCGCCCTCCTTCCCACACAACTCCCAGCAAGGACCATCTGTAACATGACATCCCCACCATGTGGGGTGGGGGGAGAGGAGCTGAATCACCTCCCTTTTCCTTATTCTCTTGTGCCCAGAGTCATGTGGGTGAGCTGCCTGGGGACCCTCTGTCTGCCCTGTACTCCAATGCCAAGGGACAGAACAAGACCCCAGGAAAGAGGCTGCCCTTACCTGTGTGAAGGGGTTGGCGCCATCCTCGTCATCGAGGCCCCTCTTGAGCTCCTCACAGGTATCCGGCAGCATGGCTCCCACCTCCTCGGCAGTGGGGCAGGAGAACTCGTAGGGGGGCGGTGGCTCAGGCAGACAGCTCAGCATAGCCAGCGGCCCAGCCTCCTTGGGGCCCCGCGAGGCCCGGTCCAGGGAGCCCCCAAGGTGGTTAATGTGGCCCAGGGAGGAGCTGAAGGGGCCAGGGCCGGTGCCAGGACTGCGGCCAAAGCTGCCCCCACTGGAGGAGTCGGACAGGCTGGGCTCAGGCTCAGGGCCGCCCTCGTCCAGGCTGAGGGCGTGCAGCAGCTGGGCACGAGCCTGTGCCTGGCTGGCCCGGGGCCCCGGGCTCAGGGGCGGGTGGCAGGCCAGCGTGTGCAGGCTGCCATTGCTGCGCCACAGCTTCTGGCCCTTGTGGGCTGCCAGGCTCTGCATGGACAGGAAGCCTTTCCCGGTGCCCGCCACAGGCTTGAATACCGATGGGCGAATGCGGCACTGCCAGGAAGAGAGGGCAGGTGTGAGGTCCCGGGACAGCTGTGCTGCCCTCCGATGCTCCCACAGCCCCTCAGGATCCTCTTTGAGAACATGGGGCGCATATCACCGGGAGTCAGTGACCAAGCCTCAGGCTAGCCCATAACAGGACTTGCAGGTCCTGGCCCCATCCCAGCATCAGGGTTTCCAAGGAGGCCCCGAGCTCCCCATCCCCGCCCTCCTACACGAGGGAGGGGCGTCGGTCGGCAGAGGCGCACCTTATCGAAGCGACCCCGCTCAGGCAGCGACGTCTTGCTGAAGTCACCGGCTCGAGGATGTTCCCGGTAGTAGAGGGTGGCATAGTCGGCAGGCTCATTCCGAGGGGCTCGCTTGGTGGTCTTGCTGTCCTTCTTGGGGAGGTGCAGGTAGCTGAGGAGCTCACGCTGGCCCAAGCCCTTCCGAAGGAGCCCATCAGGCTGGCGGGAGCTGCGGGACCCTGCGAGTGCCGCCCGTAGCTCTTCAGGGGAGAAGTCCTGCCGTTCCAATAGGCTGCCCACGCTGCCCATGGCAATGCCAGCAGGACCTGGGGCTGTGGCCATGAAGTTTCAACAGGGCACAGGCAGCCGCTTCTGGGGAGCGGGAGGCTCTATCAGAGGCAGGTGGGCGCTTGCTGCCCAACTTCCCTGATGCCCTAAAACCAGGTGCTTGCTCTCTGTGTCAGCTCCCGACTGGGCCCCACTCAGGAGAGACAGATGTGTATCCCAGAGGGAATCCAGGACAGGATTCCTAGGCTGGCAAGAGAAAGGGGTAGAGGCCCCCAAGCCACCTCCCCAGCGCCCCAGCTCCAGCTAGGGGCCAGTGTGTGATTGGGGGGCACAGGGGCGGGCCCTGAAGCAGCAGGATAGGGGCCCTCCCAGGACTGGGCCAACTGAGGACTCAGGCTCTGTCTGCCTCTGACCTTGCTCACTCTCCCATCAGGCTCCTACACCCTCATTTGCTGAGTGGGCAGAGGGCACAGGGAACCAGGGCCAATGGCCTGACTCTCCACTCCTTCTTCCCTTGGGAGGGGGAAAACCCAGTTCAGCCCTCTTCCTGCAGAGGGTCAGAGTTCCCCAAGGGAAGCACCTGGCAATGGTGGGGTTGGGGGCTGCAGAGGGAGGGATACAAACAGGAAGGGCCCAAGGGAAGGAAGGATGGCGGGAACAATGGCCACAGTTTCCGGAACAGGTGTTCACGTTCTGGCAGTGGTGGGAGGCAGAGGGAAGGCGCAGCCGGAGCCCCTGCCAGCCCTTGGAGACACTGCCACCCCAAAGCCCACCACCAGGCAGGGGGACCCCAAATCCTGACCCGGCGTGGAGCCAATCAGTGTGTGGGCCCTGGCTTCCTCATCTAGACAATGGCCATGACAACTCTCACTACTCAGGGATGCTGGGAGGATGGCTGAGATAACAAGACAAAGTGCTCAGTCCAGGGCCTGGCCAGCAGCCAGGGTCAGCACAGGCTGGCCGAAGCTGGGCTTAGCTGGTCAGAAACTCGAATGCCCCCAGCAGGCGGATGAATGAGTAGGTTATGCACTGTCTCCCACCTGTGCTGGGACCACACCCTGGGGGTGGGACCTGTCTCCAGTACCCAGCCCAGTGTCCAGCACACAGTAGGTGCTCAGAAAGGACCTGCCAAATGAACGATGCCGCCTTCGCCGCCTTCTCTGCCTCCTATCCCCGAGCAGCTGCTCCCGACCCAGACGGACGCCCAACAGGCACGCTGCAGCTGCAAGCCCCCCCGCCCCACTCAATATGCTTCCGGGACACCCACTCCCACCCCAAACAATGGTCGTTAGGAGGTTCCATCTTCCTTGACCATTTCCAGGTTTTGTGTTCGTGGAAGACAAAGCTCTCCAGGAATGGGAGGGAGGGTATGGCCCTGCCCCCACACCTTGTGGCCCTCAACCCTACCCTAAGGGCAAAAGGAACCTTCTCAACCCTCCCGTCCCAGCCCCCAGCAGGCTCAACCCCTCTGGGGGCATCACAGGTCACACAGGGTCAGGGGACTCACCCAGGTAAGGAATCACAGGGGCTGGGCACCCACAGCGACACGGCCCTGTATAGGGTCCCGCTGAGCCCTGTGACACAGTTACTGTCTGTTTTCTAAGTAAGGGCCCTGTGGCTCTGAAAGATGGCTTGCCCAAGGTCACAGGGCTGGTAAGAATGAGGATGCCTGTGATCCCAGCACCACGGCTGCCAAACGTCCAGTGGGAAATCACCCCCAGCCCAGAGCTGGAACTGAAGCATCTTGCCTCCCAATCTGACGCCCCCTGTCCAGGACAAGCCTGCCCAGCCACAGACAGCACTGTGTCCAAGAGCACTGACCCCCTGCCACTGCTTCTCAGGGAAGCAGACAGCAGAGCACCTGGTCTCCAGCCTTGCCCTCAAACTCTCTCTCCGCGGGCACCTCTCTTAGCCATGCCTCGGTTTCCCCATCTCTGCAGTGGGAAAGACTCTGCCTGCCCCACCTTCCTTATGGGTTGCTGTGACAGTCACAGAGACAACAGAGGTAAAAGGTCTTGTGAACTGTAAGCCCGGTGAGTACATGGGGGCGGGGATGGTGGCAGTGGTGCCAAACACGCCCACTTCATCCCAAACACACACCACCTCACCTTCCCCTGGGCAGATCCTCACTTCCTGTCTCAGGGAGCAATAACTGACAACCCACGTTCCCCACGGAGGGCCTCAGGGGAGAGGCAGCTGTGGGACACAACAGCACGTGCACCACACACATGCTGCAGTCCAGTCAGCGCTGCCAGCAGCACAGAGGCTCCTATGTTAGAGGGCACGGCGTGGACAGTCACATCCAACGGCAGACACAGTCATGCTCAAGGTCACCCACACAGCACCAAGCACCCTCCGGGATAGACAGGCACAACACGAGAACACTCCAGCACAAAGACCCAGCTGTCCCCCCCAGCCCCCAGGCTAGATGCAGGGGTGTGTGTAGGTGGTGAGGGGGGCATGGGACCAGCTTCTCTCCACAAGTGACTTGAGCAATTAGAAATAGCTATGAAGATGTTAGCTCAGAGCCGGTCTTCCTCAGCAAAAAGAGGAGGATTAGCATGGATGTTAGCTCAGGGCTGATCTTCCTCACAAAAAAGAAAAGAAAAGAAAAGAAATAGCTATGAAGCCGGACAAAGAGGCACAGACAGCCCCTTCCCTTTGTCTTTCCCTAAGACCCCCTCCCTCCACCCTCAAACTGTCCCCCCCCACCCCGTAACTTCACTGGCTATATTATCAGCTCCCTCAGCGGGGCGAGGCCCCTGGCTTTCAGGAGGCTCCCCGCTGCCCAGGTCTCAGCCTGGGGACAGTCCCTTTTCCTAAAGAGGTCCATCCACCTCCCCCGTCTCCCTCCAACACACATTCCTTCCCGTTGCTTGGAAGCCCAGGGACTGGCCTGGTTAGGCCAGGGCAGCTATGCAGGCTGGCTGAGAGGAAGTGGTGGGGGAAGGGGGAAGAGAGAGCAAGTGCCTTGCAGCCCCACTGGCACTGTCAGAGCAGAAAGCCAGACCGCCTCCACGTGTCTGGGCTTCCCTGCCCGGAGCCCAGTGCCTGCCCTGGGGCCCAGAGCTCTACATGGGGGTGAAAACCCCACCACCCTGCTGGTTAGGTCTGGGCTTGGCCACACAAGCCGCCTTCTGCTCAGGTCCCTGTTGGCCCCAACAGTGCCCTTTTACTCCTGCTTCCACCCCCTGGCCCCAAGATTAGGCAGCAGCACTGAAAGTCCTGGACACAGAGGAGCATCTCCTTTGGACCAATCCTTGCTGGAGATAGGAGAACAGGGCTGGGGGACTGGCCCAGCCACAAAACAGAGAAAGAGAGAACACGCAGGAGGCATCCCAGCATCTATTAGTGGGTGCCTCGTTGGGTCACCTGCCACTGGGCCTGCCACATCCTCACAGGATGCCCAGGAGGGGGTACTGTCATCTCCCACTGCACAAGAGGAAACCACCAAGGCCCAGGAGGTGAAATAATGTGCCTGAGGTCCTGTTCAGCTGCACAGGCTCCCCAGGTTTAGAAGCCTACCCTGACCTCACCGTCCATCTCCTCTCGGGGGGACACCCCAGAGCATGTGGGCAGGAAGCCCCCAGGCTGGCCTTGGCTGCGCTCAGCCCCTCCTGGCCCTGGCCTCTGGAGAGGGTCCCGCCACCTGCCGGGGATCAGCTTTGCTGAGGGCGTGTCTGCAGCTGCCCCTGAGGAATGGGACTGGAATGTCCCAGCTCCAAAAGAGAGGGCAGTGTGTGAGGGGCCCAGGGAGGGGGCGGGAGAAGCTGGCATACCCTAGCCCCACTGCGACCCTTGAAGAAGCAGAGCCCAGCATTGCACCCCTGCAGGAGGGATTCTTAGGGTCACTATGCAGTCACTTACAGCTGCACCACATTCTATAGTTTTTTCAGCCTTTTCATTGTATCATCTCTACAACAGCCTCGTGAGGAGTTACCCTCACTCCATTTTACAGGTAGGAAAACTGAGGCCCCTAAAGAAGCAAGCTGCCCATGATCCCAGTGACAACCAACCCCAACTCCCTGGGCAAGGTCCTTTCTACTGCATCACGCTATCCCAGCCAGGGGTCACCAGCTGCCCTCCATGGGCACACAGTACTGTATATGTATGTCTGCCCAGCCCCCACGCCTGCTTCTCCCAAGGGCGTCTGCAATCAGGCTGGTTTGGATCCCAGTCCCCTGGCCTGGAATCCTTCCTGCCTACCCCCCCCACCCCCCCCACCCCCCGTCAGGAAGAAGTAGTGGAAGCCGTGCTGCACAGGGACTCTGAGCCCAGGAAGCTGCTGGCTCTAGAGGGCTCTAGAGGCGGTGGCATGTGGTGGCAGGAGCCGGCTGGCCGCATTCATTCACAGTCTGGCACATACACACCCACACACAGCCGGCCGGCAGAGGAGCCCTACCTTGGAGGGCCCTGGGAGAAGGCTGATCACCAGCCCAGGATGGCTTCCTGCCTCTGCTCCCTCCCCAAGCCGGGCTCCAGGAAGAGGGCACCGGCAGCCAAGCCGCGGGACAGCCAGCCTGAGCCCCTGGTGCAAGGAAGGAGAGCCCCAATCTGCTCTTGGGTGGGAGGTGCCAGGTGGGAGACGACGGCTCCCAGTCCTCTTTCCAGACATAGCTCAAGGCCCTGATTTCGGCCTGGCCCCAGGCCGGCCCTCACTTTGGCCAAAGGTTGTGGCCAGCCTGGGACTGTGCTGCAGCCGCCCAAACCTGGGAGCGTCCCTTATCCACAGGTCGGGGCCCGTGGCGGCAGACTGGCAGCTGCCACCTGTACAGGGCAGGGGGAGAGTATCCCGGAGGGGGCGGGAGAGGGGAAGGTGGCGAGGCAGAGGAGATTGGCAACCCCACGTAATTTTCCCTGGGAAGGCTGTGGTGGAGGCCCTGAGAACTGCGGGAGGTGCTCGAGCTACCTGGGGGGCGGAGGCCGAGATCAGACTCCTGCACCAAGGGCGTCTGCCCCACCCCAGCCGCGGCGCAGGGGTCCCGGGCGCGGCGGAATGCGCGTTTGTAAGAGGCACAGAGAGCAGCGTAACTTGCCGCCTGCCTCTCCAGCCCAGCGTCCCTGATCGCGGTCGGTCCCTGATCCCGCGCCTCGGTGCCTCGGTGCCTGGAAGCAGGGGACACCTGGGCGCACACCGCACCCTGCCACCCCCGCCCACTTCTCAGACGGGAAGCGCGGCGGGCGAGGGCTGTGGCTTGGCCAAGGTCGCCAGGAAAGGGAGACCTCGGCGGCCGGCCCCACCCCCCGAGTCCAGTCCCCGGCTCCGGCCCTTGGCGCGCCCCACTTACCATGCTGGCGCCGCTCCGCACCCCTCGCGCACTGCAGTTCCCTCGCGCGGATTCGAACCCTCCCTCCAAGGCGCCGGCTCCGGCCGAGACTGCGAGCGGGGCCGGAGCGGCCGTGCGGTAAGCGCCGGGAAAACGCGGGCGGCCGGGCGCTGGAGCCGGATTGGCGAGGGAGGGACGCGCTCGGCGGCGCTCGCTCGCCTGCCCTAAAGGCGGAGGGAAAACCCGGCCTGACTCACCGGCGCGCGGCCAGCCCAGAGCCCAGCCCAGGCCCCCGGATGTTGGGGGCGGGGACGGGGGGCAACCCCCGCCCACCGCGAGCCAACCTGAGCCCCGCCCGGGCTCGCAGCTCAGCCCAGCCCGGCCCCCGACGAGGCGCCGCGCGGCGGTGGCGCCCGAGCCCTCTGCCGGCTGCGCTCTGTGCCGCGGCCACCCCGTGCGCGCCGGCTCGGACCCCGGCAGGTTTGCGGCCCGGCAGCCCTGACCACGGCCGACACCCCCAGAGGGCACCCAGCCCGCCCGCTTTCTCTTTCTCCTCCTCCTGGCCTCGCCCGCCCCTCCGTTTCCAGAACTTGACAGCTTCGAAAGAGGCACGTTCTGCCCATCGCCTCTCTGATCCTCGCCGCCTCCGCTTAGGTAAGCATTATCTCCTTTTGAGGCTGAACAAAATAGTACTCTGAGAGGTGGAGAGAGTTACCCAAGGTCTCCGGCTCGTTAGCGACTGAATTGGGCGCTAAGTTTTTTTGCCGCCAAAGCCTCCTAGGGGCAGCACATTAAGATGCCTTTAGGGGCCAGATAAATAATGTGAGTCAATGGGTGAGGTGTAAGACAATAGAAAAGATGGAGACAGACAGATGGACCTACAGGCATTCAAATTCAAAATATTAAAACACCATATCTTCCTCAAAAAGTTAAACATAAGAGTTACCATATGACCCAGCAATTCCACTCCTAGGTATGTACCCAAAAGAACTGAAAACAGGGACTCAAACAAGTACTTGTACTAGAGTGTTCGTAGCAGGACTATTCACAATGACCAAAAGGTGGATATGATGCAAGTTGTCCGGCAACTGATGAATGGATAAACACATTGTGGTATGTCCGTGTGGTGAATATTATTCAGCCATGAAAAAGAATGAAGTTCTGATACATACTACAACATGGATGAACCTCCAAAAAATTATGGTAAGTGAAAGAAACCAGACACAAAAGACCACATGTGGTATGATTCCACTTATATGAAGTAGATAAATCCGGACAGACAGAAGGTAGCTTAGTGCCAGAAGCTGTGGGGAGGGAGAAATGAGGAGGGACTGCTTAATGGGCATGGAGTTTCCTTTCGGGATGAGGAAAATGTTTTGGAAGCAGATACAGGTGGTGGTTGCACAACGTTGTGAATGTACTAACTGCCAGTGAACTGTACACTTTAAAATGGTTGATTTTACCTCAGTTAAAAAAAAGACATCATGTCACCCGGGGATCAGATTTGGCCCATGGGTCACCAGTTTGCAACCCCTGTCTTCTATGCTGTCCTTACCAACTTCCTAACAATGGAAATGCCAGATTTCGGAGGACTTCTGTATTTAAGAAAACTCATTAATAACTTGTGTGTCAGGCCTTGAGGAGCCCCAGTCTGGTAGGGTTGCTGACAAAGGCTCAGAGCAAGGACACACTTCATCTTTTTGGGGACCTGAGGAAAGGCCTCACTGGGGAAGTAGCTTTCGAGATGGTACTTGAAGGATGGAAAGCATTTCCATGGAGGAGGGTGCTCGTCATGGAGCAAGGGCCCATGGCTGGAGAGGGCAGGGCACGTTCGGGTGAAGGCAAGCTTCCTAGTGAGCACGGAGCCTGGGGTGGGAAAGGTCGGTGTGAGAGATGGGGCACAGCTGGCACACTGGTGTTGAGAGAGGGCAGCGTGAGGACCCAGCTGGACTGTGGGGCGTGTGTGTACGCAGGCCTGGTGAGGTGGTGGAGGCAGGGAGGCCGGATTATAGGAGTCTCAGGGAACCGAAACGGGGCCACGGAGGGCAGGGGCAGAGGGGGGGACCATGAGATGGTTTGAAAGAAGAATTGACTTGTCTTGGCAAGAAATTACATGAGGAGGAGAGGGAGGGGGTCAGAGATAAGCTCTGGTGAAACTCAGATTCTGCTCCTCGCCTTTCTGTTGTTATAGACACAGTGACTTATCCAAGGTCTTCTGACCTCTCGGTCCAGTGTTCTGTCTGCCCCAGGCTGCCAGAGGGAGGTGGGTGAGGAAGGGAGTTCAGTATTGTGGAGCGTCCCAGCAGGAGGGAAGGAAATCAGAAGACACCCTGGAGCCCAGAGTTGTCAAAGACCGGGAGGAGAGTTGGGGGAGAGCCCTGGCAGAATGGAATACCTGGAAAGTGGCTGCACACCTGAGAAGGGCAGCTGTAAATTGGAGGCTGGTGGAACCTAGCAGTTCAGCAGGAAGCTCATCCCCTGCCCACACCAGGGCCTTCTCTGCAGTGGGGGTTGCAGAGAGCAGGGGACTGGGGCAGATGTAGAGAGCAGCCTGGCTTCATCCTTCTAGCAGAGCTGCCATTCAGAGAAACAAAGGTCAGGTCCCCGTCCCCTCCAACCTGGAGCAGGCTACCTGTCCGCCACCTCCTGTACAGGCTCTGGTCTCTAGGCCACTAAGAGCACCCCCCACCACCCCCTCCCTAGAAGTTGAGGGGCTGACCTGGCAGATGCTCCTTCCTTTGTGGCTTCTCTGAGCCCTTTGAGGTTGTCCTGATCACGCTGATGAGGATTGCAAGGCTGAGGGGACCAGCTGCCCCAGGGGAGAGGCTGCTTCAGTTCCAATCCAGAAAAAGTGCCTCCTCCTCCCCATCCACACGCCCTGCACCCTGTGCCTTCCTGTGCACATTTGCAGACATAAACCATAGAGTTTACACTGAACCCTTGTGTGCCCTCAGTCCAACCCCTCTGATGGAAAAACCGAGGTCCAGAGAGGGAACATGACCTGGCACCCCCCAAACACATCCCAGAGCTGGTTCCTGGCAGGGCTGGGCCTGAAGCTGGGTCTCTTGCCGCCTAGTCTGGTGCTCGCTCTGTTCAACCGCACTCCCTCGCTCCACTGCGGCTGCCTCTTGTTCTCACCCCTGTCCCCCTGGCCTTTAGCCTCCATCTGCTTTCCTCAGCCTTTGAGAGAAGCAGGTGGGCTGGGTAGAGCGGGGAGTCGGTAGCCGGCAGGAGCCAGGCCTCTGTCCTCTCCCCACATTTGCCTGGACAGCATGGGGTGGGGGCCCTCCTGGGCTGCCTGCCCCCAGACTTGGCATTCCTGTAGAGTTGGCGTGGGAGCCACACCGCCCAGATGCCAAGGGGCGAGACACTCAGGGCGCCGGGCCAGGGGAAGGGAACGCAGGTTCCCTGGGTGCACCACTTCCTGAGTCGGCTGGCCTTGGACAGTTTAATCTCTCTCGGCACCTCAGTTTCTTTGTCTGGAAAAGGGGATCATAATTTGCTGGGGGGATTGAGTGAAGGAATATCTGTAAAACATGTTACTTTGTCCTTCTGCCTTCTCCTTAGAGAGAAAGCTTGTCGCAAGGACAAAATGCTTGCCATAGCATTTAGACAGAGCCTGTCTAAAGTGGCTGGGTAGGCTGAGTGCCGCCCCAGCTCGCATGCACTCTCCTTGTTGTCTCACTCTGTCTCCCTGGGCCGGGGGAGTACCTGCATCTGTGCTGCTTGCGTGTGGCCAGGACTGTGAAATCCTGGGGCCACCCCGGGAGACCAGGAATTTCCCCCTTCCCTCTGGCTCCACCTCTGGCCTCATCACCTTTCTCCCGGACTGTTGCAGCAGTCTCCCTGCCGCCCTCCCAGCGTCACCCACTCTGCCTGAGCGGGAGTTGCCAGCCCACGCATTCTGTCCCCACTCTCCGCTGCTTGAGAGGTGGCGCCGCAGCTTCAGAACTGGTCCCGAGGTTCTTTTGGGCCCCGTCCCAGCCCCTGCCTTGTGCACCTCTGTGCTGGGGACTGCCTCAGTGTCCTCATCTGGAAGTGCTGGTTGTTGGGAGAATCCATAAAGGGCACCCCCTGTGCCCAGCGCAGAATCACTCCACTTATCCTCTGTCGCTGTGGCAGCACTTGTGGCAGTGCATCAGCATGTGTGGGCTACCTGTCTGTCACCCCCAGGAGACAGCAAGCCCTGAGCGTACAGGGATTGGCCCCCTAGTCCACGTCCAGACCCCCCAGGGCCTCCCTCAGGACCTGACAGTTGATCATGTTCAGCTCCAACACCATCTGCAAAAAGCCACTTCATGGCTGCTTTCTAACCAGGAGGAGGAGGGTAAAGGAAGGCGGTCCTGGCTCTAATCCCTGGTGTGTAACTTCCTGGTGACCTCTCTGAGCCTCAGTGTCTTCATTTGTAAACAGGCAGAAGCGCCCGAGAATGAAATGGCATAAGTTGGTGAAGGAAGACCTACAGCTGTGTGTCCCCCGCCTGCCCTTTACCCTTCACTCTTTGCCCTCCCTTGTCCCTTCTCCTTCCCCTGGAGCTGGCCGGGCCCCAGGTCAAGGGAGGAGAGCTGGGCGTTCCTAGAGAGGCAGCGTCTGAGGATTTCAGACCTTGCAAAGAGCAGGCTAACAGGTAGCTCCTGCTGCCCGCTCCACCTCCTGCCAGCTCCGCCAAGACTGTTCTAAATCCGAGAGCTGTGTCACAGCGGGGCACTGTGGCTGTCAGGGTCAAGGCAGTAGGACCCTGCTCCCCCGCCTTCACACCACACCCAGAGAGATGTGCTCCACACCCCGGGGTGAAAGTGGACTCCTGGGACCTGGACTGCCCTCCCTGAGTCACCTGCGCTGGGGAGGAGCCTTTGGTCACCCCTAATGCCCCCCCACCGGCCCTCCCTGGTGACCGGGGCAGCTGCAGGCCGCAGGTGGGGTGGAAGCTGAGAGCTGCCAGGACTTGCTCAAGTGCCTGCCCTGGGGCACTCAGACTGTAGGAGCCAGCCAGGCCTGCAGTGTGCAAGCCGCCCCGGAAGACCAGGCAGCCCAACTGGCCCACTGGCAGGTCACCAGAAACCTGGCCTGGCCCCACTGCCAAGCCCAGGACCAGCTGGCACGCAGTAGTAACAGGGTGCCGTGCTCTGGAACTTGGGAGACCATTCCCTCAGTGGCATTGGTTCATCGGGGAGCGGGGATGGGGATTGAGAGCAGTCTGGGGAAGCCACTGCAGAATTGTGCAATGACAAGAGGAAAGCTGATGGTTTCTGCAGATGGTTGCACAACTGCGTGAGTGTGCTTAATACTTAATACTGA